CCTTGCGCCCGGCCGCACGGCGAGACGGTGCTCAATCACCTCCCTGGGGACCCCGGGCATGTCCGCTGGTCTCCATGCGAAGACATCAGCGTTTGCCCACAGGAAGGAGACGAGCGCGTCTTCCTATTTGCCATCCAGAAGACCACCGATCCGTGTGGTCTTGGATGGGCCGTCGCCCAAGGCAACCTCCTTGACCGGGACCTCGTCGCATGTGGCCATCCGCTGCCTCGGGGCGGTGGGGGCAGAGGGGCCAAGCCTCTCGTCACCACCCTCGGGCTTGGACGCAGCAGCGAGGCGGTCGGCGCGCTGCTCCATGCAAGCGAGCGCGACTTTAAGATCGCCATGGACAGAGATGGGGCCACCGGGGCCCGGCATCTTCATCTGGAGGTAGGCGTAGTGGACCGCCGCCATGAACTTCACCAACGCGGGCCTCCCTAGGACCGCGTTGTAGGGCAGACTGAGGTCCGCCACATCGAAGCTCACCCGCTCCGTGCGGAAGTTGGCGGGTCCACCGAAGGTGACCGGTAGGTCGATGTGACCTAATGGCCACGTGTGCCCCGGCGTCACACCGATGATCGGTTGAGACGGCTGGAGCACCATCCCCGGGGCCTTGATAGCATCAAAGGCCGCGGGGGAAAGGATGTTGAGAGCCGCTCCTCCATCTATGAGGACACGTCCCAACTTCACGTTGCAGATGGTGGGGGAAACCACCATCGCAACCTGCCCTCCCCGGGCAATGCACGGTGGGTGGTCGGTCTGGTCGAAAGTGAGAGCAACCTCCGACCACCGCGCCCGACGCATCGCCTCATGAGTAGGGGCCATGGCCAGAAGCTCTCGCTTCATAGCCTTGAAGCTCCGGCGAGAGACGTGAGCACACGCTCCTCCATCGACGGTGGCAATGGTGGCCCCAGGTTCTTGGAAACCTAGGTCATCATCACCATCATCGATGTCAACAGCGGGGGCCTTCTGCTTGGCCTCACTTCGCCGTTTGCCGGAAGGAACCGCCGGGGACTTGCCCTCACGGCGTTCCTGCCTCCTGTCCTCCTCCCACTTCCTCGTTCGCTCAGCCAGGTTTTTGACTGCACGACAGTCCGCGAGATCGTGGAGGGAGGTGTTGTGGACGGAGCACCACCTGCCGGCGGGGCGCTCCCTGCTGGGAGTACCAGCCTCTTTCTTTTTGTCGCTCGCAGGCCTCCCCTTTCGAGTGGCCCGCGGAGCGCCCTCGACGGCGAGGACATGACCCTCGTCGCCGGAACGGTCCGACCTCTTCTTCCTCCTCCTGTCACGCCGCCCTGTCTGAGCGGCGGATCCGGGGGCGGCCGAAGCTGCCACTCCGGAACCGGAGGAGTTCCATGTCCACGCTTCCTCCTTACGAGCCACTCGGTCCGCGAGCTGAAAAAGCTCCGCGGTAGTCTGGGGCTCTTTGGAAGCGATCTTTTCGAGCATGCGGTTGTGCCGCACGCCCCCCCTGAACGCGTAGATCACCGCGTGTGCAGGGATGCATGGTATAGTATTGCGGACTTGGCAAAACCGCTGAATGTACGAGCGAAGCGACTCATCATCGCCTCGCTGTACTGCATGCAAGTCCGCTTCTTCGCCTGGGCGCGGATATGTGCCTTGGAAGTTCATGGTGAACTGTTGGCACAAATCTTCCCAGGAGTGGACCGACGCGGGTGGCAAGTTCATTAGCCAACCCCGCGCCTGTCCTTTTAGGGCCATGGGAAAGAAGTTCGCCATGACCCTGTCGTCACCCCCAGCGGCCTCGATCCCGGTCGTATAGACCTGGAGAAACTCGGTGGGGTTGACGCTCCCATCGTACTTCTCGGTGATGGTGGGCCGGAACCTTGGGGGCCAACGGACATTCCGAAGACTCGCCACAAAGGCTCTACAGCCAACACCACCGGCCGGGGGCACGGAGGGCTGATCCTCACGTCCATGTCGAGGTGACACTCTGGACGAAGAGGCGCCCTCCGTTGCGTGGGGAGTATGCCGGTTATTACGCCGGCGCTCGATGTCGACGCGGGCATCCGGCTCTCCATGCTGATCCTCCCGAGTTGGAGGTGTCGACGAGGGAGTAGCGGCCGAATGGCGCGCAGCAGCCGCCGCTCGCCGCGCCCTCCGCCTTGACGACACGGAGCCGGTGGTAGCGGCGCCGGAGGTCTTGGTGGTGGCGGACCGTCCACCAGCACCCAGGCGCTGCTGTGCCGTCATGACCAAGTTGGCCACGTCTTCCAGCCATCGTTGGGCTGGAGACTCCGGGTCATGGACGACAGGCGGGTGTCGTAGGAGCGCGCCAGCAGCCTGAAGCGCACCCTGAGGCGTGCTGCCGTCGCCGTAGACGAGGAGGCGACGCTCCCCATCTCGCCGTTCTCCTGCATCACCCGCGACTGGTGATGCCACGGATTTGTCGACCCTCTCAAGCGCCTCCCCCTGCTTAGGGCTTTGGCGCGGAGGAGGTGGGGGAGTACGAGCTCGACGGCGTGGATTCGGCTCCCCGTCGTCGCCGCTCACACTCGGAGAGAGGTCGTGCGCTTTTCCTTGCTCGGCCATTAGGCTGAACAAGAAAAACTTGGCGCACACGGAAGAGTCTGAGAGCTCAGAAAACACACACTGAGCCCCCTACCTGGCGCGCCAGATGACGGAGCTCGTGGCCCCTCACCGGGAGACTGCGCAAGCCCCCCTTTGCCGGTTCGACCAGGGGCTTAGGGTGCAATCCCAAGCTCTCTCTCTCTCTCTGTATGTGGAAAGATCACCCGTCCGCAAGACACACGAGACACGGCGATGTATACAGGTTCGGGCCGCTGCGAAGCGTAACACCCTACTCCTGTGTTTTTGTGGATTTGTGTATGGACAAGTTACAAAGGATTAACTTCCTTTCCCCTCAGCCTTCCAAAAGGGAAAAAAGTCAAAAGTCCCCTCTCTAGATGGGCAAGGTCCTCCTTTTATATCTCAAGGGGATACCACATGCACCTTTCTCTTTCCAAACTGGACTGTTCTTTTTCTCTTTAATGGGCGGAGATCGGTACGGTTTCCATCCGGGAGCCCTTCTGATGGGACAGCCCACACCTACCCCCACCTCCCCCGAAGACAGAGATGACGCGGGACCGTGGCTGTCTGTCGATGACGTGACCAGTGCCAGACCGGTCATTCTTGTCCACCACGCGTCAGCTTAACAACGTGCATGTTTGCCCTTCTTCGTGTAACACCTTGCCTGTAATGGTTAGGATGAAGCCTGGTATAAATCTGACCAGGGCTAACGTGCCATCTCTAAGAGATAACACGCTAGCTCCGGCTTGAGACGAGTGCCTAGAGGCTTTCGTCTTGACGGGACGGGGCAAGGCGTGCGTCAGCCCGCCAGTCGCCACCTAACCCGTGATCTGACCGGTCTGTGACTGGCCACAGACCGGATAAAGGAACGCGCTGTACTGCGTTGCATGCAGCGTGACACGCTTGACCAGACTGCAATAAATGCTGTTAGGTGAGCACAGCTGTGCTCACTTATCCCATATATGTGGCGCATATTTCCTTAAGGGGTCGGGGTGCCTCGGCCCTCGGGGCCGGGGCAAGCGCAACCCGACCCCCCCTCGGGGGAAATCAGGAGGAGGGCGGACACCTCACCCTCGGGCCCGACGTCCCCGAAGGTGCCAGGCCACGTGGGCGATTGCGTCTGCCTCAAGCCTCTGGTCATGATACTCCCGGTCCCATATCACCGACAACCGTTATGGTTCCATCCATCCCACGCCACTATAGCATCTAATGAAGAGATGGTAACAGATTGGACCTAACGGCGATGACATTTCGGGACAAAGTTGTTTATACGATAGAATTTTATGGAACTCGTATTTATCAATAACATTTCTAGAAATAATTGAGCGATTGTCAATGATATCTATTGGATTTTCTAGCAGATCGATCGACCAAATGGCCTAAATACTGACCAACACTCTAACAACCATCAGCTCGTATATTCTTCAACAACTATGCTACCAAATTAATTAACTACTCAAATTTTTCATAACCATATGGACGGACTTGTGTTGTCTGTGGGACGTACTATTTGCACATCAGTATAATTTTCTACTCAGCCCAATTTCAAATGCATAACATATATACGATCACAAATGAAGCCATGGCGACCTTGTCTGCTGAGCTGCTAATTGTACATATGTCGGGGTGGGTCATGGCTTCATTATTCGTGATGGATCCCGGCTTCATGAAATACATGCATGCAACTTAATTATTATAACTTAACTATGCAAGCATGGCAGCATGCATTGACCTGCTTAATTAGTCTGCTCTGCCACTGACCAGCTGGGACAGCTTGAATTGATCGAATTGAAGTCTAGCATTTTCGATACACTAGTAAGCACAAGCTTGCAAGATTGAGGGTTGTGACACAATAGCTTAATTATGTATTGACCTGACCAAGCCAACACAACTACTATACACATATATACAACTTGATGCAACATGGTACCTATTAATTTCCCCATCACTCTTCTATTATTTGACTTGCAAAACTCAACAGAGACACATTTTTGTCTATTGATTGTGGATCGCTCATTAGTGGGATCAGGCAGTAGCAATCATTAAGTTGAAGGATTATATACTAGTCTAGTCTATTTTTTTCTCAACCATTTAAGAATTATTTGCTCATCGATCATGTGACTATAAGTGACCTTGACAGTTACTGGTGTCCTTGTTCTAGTTTAATTATTTTTTCTCCCTCCTCATGCTGATTTATTCCTTTTTTATATGCTGCCACAGTCACCAATGATCGATATAAGAGGAGCAAAAAGAAACGAACAAATGGAAATTAATTGATAAACTAGCACACTAAGAAAAGCAACCGGTGTGCACAAATTTTTCTTCACTGGAGACAAGGCCATGATGCGAGTGAGAGGGACAGCAGCCGCCTCCACCAATCATAGGAAGCCACCTTTGCCATGTTTCCCCACACTGACACGCACCACACATGAAAATTTAATTAATGTAGTTAATGATCAGAATAGTAATAAAGTAATTATTTGAAAAAAAAATCATGAGAAGCTTCTAATGATAACCAAGAACTGGATAGAAATGATGGTACAATCCTGTACAAAAATTGCCTCTTGTGATGATCATGTTTTGCCCCTTTGGTACATGGCGTGGAGTGTTCGATTCGGCTCTGTTTCCACGCAAGGAAGAATCTTATTACATGTAGTCGCTCACGTCGAGGAGCTCGGATAGGTGCATGTTGATGAGCAGCCCAGCGTCGTCGACGTCACCGCTCGCGTTCAAGCCATACGTCGTCGTCGTCGTCGTAGAGGATGAGTTGATCTGTCCGGCGGCTGCTGGGCTCGACGACGGCGTGGACACGCCGGAGTTGACGTTGTGGTTGTTGCTACTCGAGACCGTGCTGCTCCACTGCTGCAGGTTGGACGCGTCGGACGCCATCTGCATCAGCGCCGGCACGTAGTCGAGCTGGTTGTCGTAGCTCGGGTGCTGCACGGCGCCGCGGCGGTGGCAGGTCGCCGCCGCCATGTGATCCTGCGGTTGCTGCGCCAGCTGCTGCGTCGGGCTGGCGTGAACCAGGCCTGGCATTTGGTGGCAGGCGGTGCTGGTGGCCTGCAAGAACTGTTCGGTCGCCGCGGCCTGCGGCGGCGGCGGCGGCGGCGGCGTCACCTGCTGTTGCTGCTGCGCCATCTGCGCCTGAAGCAGCCACGGCAGGAGAAGCTGCGCCTGCTCGGCGGCGGCGGCGGCGGCTGCGCCGGTCGTCGTGGCGGCGGGGAGGATGGCGGAGGCGAGGCGGAGCAGGTCCGGGTAGCCGGCGAGCGGCTCGAGCGCGCGGAGCGTGTCGAGGTCGGCCTGCGTGGGGTAGTACGCGGCGGCGGCGGCGGGCTTGAGGAGGGAGGTGAGATCGAGGAGGTCGAGACGCGGCGCGTGGGTCACGGGGTCTATGCCCATGCGGAGGAGGCGCTTGCGGATGTGCGTGTTCCAGTAGTTCTTGATCTCGTTGTCCGTCCGGCCCGGCAGCCGCGCCGCGATCGCTGACCACCTAAGCCAAAAAAAAAAAAAAATCATGCACGGAAAACGCAACCGGCATCATCGATCATCAGCAACCGTACGCCCAAGTGTCCACGTACTGAAACAATAATTATTAGCCGGATAATTTGATAATCTTACTTGTTGCCGAGGATGCTGTGGAGCTGGATGATGGCCTCCTCCTCCTCGAAGGAGAAGCGACCACGCTTGATGTCCGGCCTAAGGTAGTTCGTCCACCGCAGCCGGCAGCTCTTCCCGCACCTCGAGAGCCCTGCACAAACAAAGAAGCTGGATATATCAGTTACCATTCATAAGATAAGCTAATCTAAGCTAGCTTTGTGCATGCTCATCAATGGCGGCAGAGCAAAGCTGACGCGCGCGCTCACCGGCATTCTTGGGGAGCGTGCGCCAGTTGCCCTGGCCGTGCTCCTTGATGTAGGCGATGAGCTTCTCGTCCTCCTCGGGCGTCCACGGCCCCTTCTTCAGCCCGCTCTTCTCGCAGCACGGCGCCCGCCCCATCGATCACGGGAGCACACGTAGTTCGCTAGCAGGCGGTGCAAGAGCAAAAGGTTCGGTTTGTCTCGCAGCCAAGCAGGCGTTAGCCGTGTGAAGAGCGGCGGGAGCAGGAGACGGATGGATCGGTTCGACGAGGGAGAGGTGTGGGGGCGAGGTGGGGAAAGGGTTATAAAGGGGGGGCGCGAGGCCGGCGAAGTCAACAGGATTCGGTGCCGGCCTTTGTTTATCGCGCCCGCGACGTGGCCGCGCCCCGCGCTGCGTCCCGGTTGTGTCCCGGGGGCGGGCCACACGGTACGTACTCGTGGGGGCCGCCTCGTTCGTTTTACTACCACCACCACCACAGGCCAGGCCAGTGGCGCGATGGGTTAAAACAGCTCCCCCCGCGCGGCCCATGGCTGCAGAGGGCGTGCCAGTTGCCACACCAGAGCTAACACTAGCAGCCTCGGCCCTCGGTTGTCTCGTTACGTGTAGTACAGAGTACAGTGACAAAGCAAACAGCCAACGATATACGGAAGCCAGAACAACTTCCTGCTTCAGTTTGAAACTAGTAAAATTCAAAATCTGTTTCAAGCGAATCCCGAGATACACGGATACTCCCTCCGTTATGAAAAAAAACAAAACTAAAATTGGATGTAACATATTTCTCCTGTACTCGTAAAAAGTTATTTAGGACAATGTTTAAGTCAAACCTTACGAATATAAATCATTAATATAGATTTGTCTTGAAAAATACTTTTATAAAAGTATATATATATCACTTTTCAATAATATTTTTATAGAAATAAAAAGTCGGAGTTGTGTTTTGGAGTCCGTGTGTCGTTTCTTTATGAAGAAAGTATTACAGTACAACAAATCTAAACCGACTTATGTCGTATCCAATTTTAGTTTTGTTTTTGAGAACAGAGGAAGTACATCTCAATACGTACGGATTGATGTAGTGGCATCTGAAAGTCCAGTTGTAAAAAAGAGATCGACGCGAGGTGGAGGAGGAATTACTGATGGACTCGTGCACCTCCTCCAGCCGTGCATGCATCGCCCATCCCCATCACCTGGCTGGCGTTGACGCCCGCCCGCGCGAGAAAACCCGTACGACGACGCCCCCCGCCGGTGCCACCTCGCACGGATGACGGCACCACACGCCGCGCCGCGCCCCGCCCGGGTCCCCCATCCTCGGCCTCGTCCTCCAGCCAATTCCTTCCTCGCCAGAAACTGCACCCAAACTGCGGCCCATCGCACGGAAAAATGCCCCTGCGGCCACTGCCCCTCCTCCTGCCACTGCGACTGCGGGCAGCCAGCCATGGCAGGCAGCTGCCGCGCTCGCCAGAGCGGAGCCGATGGCATGCATGCAGCCGCACCACCCCTTAACTGCCTGCAGCTTTGCCTCCCCGTACGCTCTGCCCCCCGGTTGGCGGTGGAAACTACTCGCTACTGTTGACAAAAAGGCTGCACCCTGTGTAATCCTGCATCCCTCCCCCCTCCCCCTCTCATCACTGCACGCCGATGCCAGCGCGTGTCTCCGTTGACGTACCACAGGCCTTTTCGATCGCCGGCTCCGCTCCACGCTTCCAACGCCCGTTCCTGTTGGATTTCGTTTCGCATTTTTTATTATTAATTTTAAAATAAATCCTTTCAATATTTATTTTCAAGATTCAACTTGTGTCAAAACAGCTTTATTTAGACACGCCGGTCTGACTGACGTAATAATATTCTTAAGGGTGGTGGGAAAAAATTGTTACACATATTACGGGTGGTGTAATAGTGTTATTTTTCTATACGAGATGGGTTGGTTGGTTAAAATGTTTAGATTTTGAAAAAAGTTTAAGAAAATATTTATTTTTGAAATAAAATGTTTTAGAAACCAATAAAATTCCGTCCGTCGTATCTATGCCTGCGTATCCCTGTAGATTTTGACGTCTACCTCGATCGGGCCCTTTTCTGGGTCATTGTTTGCATGCATTTTTGCCTGGTACGTGTTGCAGTATGCCGGCCGGCCATGGCGATTGACAGGTGTGTGTGTGTATGTGTATCCTGGATACCTTTCTGCGTCCGTGTATTTTTGCAGGTGTAACACATGCTGACCTGCAGTGTGTGCGGCGGCGCGTACGTACTGCAGTTGAGGTGGTGTAGTAGGACGAACCGGGTGGCGTACTGGGGGAGCGTGGCATGTCGCTGCACGCCCAGCAGGTGGGGGTTTCTTCGCCGGTAATGTTACTTACTCTAAAGTTAGTGAAAACTAAATGTCAAAAGTTTGAACGTATGGAAAGCAAAAAATAGGTATAAAGGGGAGTGACAGTGACATTCAAAAGGCAGCTAGGGATGCAAAAGATTGCAACTACAATTTTTTGGTTTCTTTGATATATTCCATCGGTAAAAAAAACAAAGCTAAAATAGAATGTGACACAAATATGTGACATATCCTATTCTAGATTTATTTTTTATGAAACGGAAGGAGTACTTTGTACTACTCCTATATTGCCAGAGAAAATATCCAATGACCCAGCATGAAAACGATTTGTTGCATATTGGTGTGGTAACTACAGGTAAATTTCAATACTACCTATATTATTGTGGTGGTGCAATATATTTCAAAATTGGTTTTGCAAAAGCCCAGTTAACTGGGTGAAAGTGACACTAAACTCTTATACATTCATTAGAAAACCTGGTAATGATGTTTCAGGAAAATTAAAGAAGAGCACTTGGTGTTATTGTAAGCTTTGTTTTACTGGTGGCGTGTTATTGTAGCTACAAGTACTACTATCACCAAAACACTTGGTGAACAACTGAATTCCGTCTTCTATGGTGCCGCGTGTCCCGTAGCCTAAAGTGTCTATGTCAATTGACTTTTTGACAAAGATCACAATAATTGCTTCACATAACACACATCCATCTGTGCTGGATGCTGCAGTTCATCCGGCACTTCTCAACATTTGATCAACATTAATTTTGACCGTCCAGTGACACAAATCAGGAAAAATGGAGTTGATACTGGCCCATTGCTGTCGGTGTTATTAGAGGGGATGTACTTAATTAGTACTTATTAAACGTTTAGTAAGTACTGAGTATATAAAGTTATAAACCCTGAACGGTTAAACATTCAACTGAGTATATATGGACTATTACCCCCGGAGTCTAAACATAGGGATGTAACATGCAAAGGCGGTGGACAAGCGGGTTTTTTTAGCCCGCTTTTCTTACTTCTAGTTTATTTTTTCTTTTTAATTTTGTACTACTATATGAGAAATGAATTAGCAAGCGGGTTTTTATGCGGTAATAGGACTACCCGCTTAACTAAACCTATATAAACTCTGTGTATATATATATATGGGTGTTTACGTATGATGAATTGCAATATGTACCGAGTCAAGCGTACCTTATTTCGCTTTATGATGGGTTTAGCACATACTTTTCCACTTTAAAATACGGTCTATTGATATATGTTTCACTTGACACTAGGATGCGCCATCAAACTATAGAAATTTCACAAAAATTGAGTGAAACTTCATGAAACATGATCTAAATAATTTACACTCATATTTTACAAGATTTCCATTCAATTATATGACACAACCTTAGTGCAAAGTAAAATAAGGTACAATACGAGTATTTTATATGAGTTCGATCAATTTCTATAAAATTTCTTCAGAAGTTAATACTCCATTCTAAAGAGTCCTAATGTTGGTTTCTGCTAATAATTTTCGGTTTTATTTGTTTTGAAAATTGTCGAAAATGAAAAATATGGGGAGACAAAAAATATATGGAAATCTAAAGAGTGTAACTTAAGATACATTGTTGTAATAATAAGTAGTTAAGAAGGAGATCTCAGCAAGTCATGTATCTCATCCACTCCATCAAACTTGCAACTAAAACTGTCAAATCATACAGAATGCACCCATTGTAATTAATACTTTGTAATTAATAGTAGTGTTAGATTACTTAAGTTCCTTGACCAATCAGAAACCTGGACCGTACTCCTTGTCTTGCTACTTTAGGCTAGATCTCCCAACTAATGAGCACTTAAGAAGTCTAAACAAGAATTGATCATGGGACCAAGTCCTAATTAGGCAAGCAAAATAAGTAGTACTCCATACAAGTCGCTCTACTAACGGTACGGATTCACACAACTACGATTATAATACTCCAGTCTGGGGGTTTGTTTCCAAATGCATACATGATTAAAATTATTTCATGAAAACAACCTTACATCTAATTGAAACTGTGCTTACTTGGACTAGTCGTTCTGAACGTCCTTCTCAACATTGGAGCAAATTCATTACTGAGAGGACGACATCCATATTACTTAATTATTACATTTTCTATGTGCATATCATATTGTCTTTCAATTAAGAGAAATCAATTTGTTGAGTGGGCATGCATACAAAGCTAGATATCATTGGCAGCCAAATTAATTGTTCTGACAAAATTAAATGTGCATGACTGCTTCTCACTGGGATATTTTAGGTCAGATACACAATACTCCCTCCATACTCGTAAAGGAAGTCGTTTAAGACAGCGACACGGTTTCCAAAACACAACTTTGACTTCTTATTTCTATAAAAATATTTATTGAAAAGTGATATATATATATGTATGTATACTTTTATAAAAGTATTTTTCAAGACAAATCTATACATATAATTTTTACATTTTCAAACTCAACAACTTGAGAGTTATTCATGATTTATATTCTCAAGGTTTAACTTAAACATTGTTCTAAACGACTTCCTTTATAAGTATGGAGGAAGTATACACAATGTGACTCCCCATATTTTTAGGTCAGATACACAATATTTTAGGTCAGATTTACTACATAAATCGTGCAGTTTTTTAAAGTCAAATACTTAAATGATGAATGCAGCTATTTTTAAATGAAAAATTGATGCAATTGCGGGCTAAGTTAGACTATATCTAGGAAAATACTAGTGGTATGATGGTAGTCACGAGTGTATGATTTTATCCACCAATACAAGATTTAAATCTTGATGCTCATGAGTATTAGCACACGATCGAGGTGCTCACTTTCTATAAAATTTTAAGGCCAAGAAGCTGCCGCTAGTTCCCCTTTTTTAAGTGTGTGTTAGAGGAGCATTTATCAATTTATTATCAATGTGATGTTACGCGTGTAGTGTGCCTCTTCCGTCTTACCAAAAACACAAGTTAATTTGATCATATCTGACCTTGAAGCATATATTTTTTTCTTTTTTGGGAAATTTGACCTTCGCAAGATAAAACCTGATACGATTAAGCTCAAGTACGTGTACCGACGTGTCAAATATCCAGCAGATTTCTAGGAAAACTAACTGGCAAATTAGCTGGATTGGCCGGCGTTTGCATTGACAGCGCCAATTAGCTTAAGAGAGCAGACGTGTGAAGCAGCGGGGAGCAATGCGTGCAGACGCATCCAACCTGCATATAATCTTGCTTGCATACGTACGACTCGGAGCTTAATTACTAGGAGTAGCTAGCTAGCACACACATGCAACAACGCCCTGCTTAATTAACCCGATCCGTACGTGCATGCATGGATTACGATTTGATTAGTGAGAGAATTAACAATCCAATACATTTGACTATCCAGAGAGATCGATCATATACTCTTAATTATGTAACTTCTACGATGATCATTTTTTTTTGTTTATCAGTTATCACTAACACACGCACCAGCACATACGTATTGATACGTATACACAGCGTATATAATTAGCCTACCAATCTAGCTAGCTAGATCGATTTACTCCAACACACTAATACTCTATACACATGGAAGAGGATTAATCTAGCCGTAGGTTATAGATAATATAGTGTTCAACTTTTAATATAGTGCCTCCATGTCTCTTGCAATGGAGACACCAGAGCCACCTTCTCTGCAATACACTCAATTTAATTACCCACGGAAGCTATCCATTTTAAGCCAAGACAGCCATGACACAGCCCAAATTAACAAACATCCAACCAACTAATCGTGATCTCACTTGCCCTAATTCTCCATTAGGGGAGCCCTTATTACGTGGCACACGCCAAGCAATCCATGGCGTATTCCTTGCCCGAAAATGGAGTACGCTTACATCGCCTAGTCTGACTTTGACCCCATTTTGCAATGCCAAAAGGAGAGAGAGAGAGAGTTGTTATGAATAAACCGCGGTATTCATATGTCTCGTTAGGGCCACGTGTCCGCTTCTCGTCTTACTAATAATCTAAGTATATATACTCCGTGAGAGTGTGTGTGGTGCCTCGCGAGCACAATTAAACACAAATAGTTTAATTCGTGACCTGGTGATCTGCAAGATCTCCCCTGAGGTCACCCGGTCTCGCCTGCTTCATCCTAACATTGACGTTTAAGGTATTCAAATGCTGCAGCTAGCGTGTCTTGCTCTTAAATTATACGTATGCCTATTGATTAATTATGTTTTTTGTTCGTTTTGGATTTGTGTAGAGTGGAAAGGTACCAGGAATGGTTTGAAAATTTGGGCGTAGATGACCTCAAAAGAGATTGTATTTTTCTCTAGAGAGGACAGATTAATTAATTAAAGAGGGTTTTGTATATTGGTGTAGACATGGTGACTTGTCGAGTCAAAAGCGAAGAGATCATCTGCTGATTAGTATAGATGCTATAGATTATTTGGTGCATATATGGATAGAGGGATAGAGCGGGAAAGCTGCATGCATTTTGGCAAATTGAACTTTTGAGTCTCTGACTTTGCCGTAATTAATTGCAACACTCGTGTTATGATCGTGTTAATTATAGGGGTTAACACTTGTCGCCATGGATCAGGGCTTTGCCACATCGGAGTGAACGTCACAATTGAATCATAATCAGGGTGAAATAGTAGTATAAAATTAACCACATACGTAGGTACCAGCAGAGCAAATCTTTAATTAATCGTGGCATACACTACTCACAATATATCCAGTACAGTCTTTGCTAGAACATTCATCTGGTGATCAGCATGATTAATTAGGTTTAGTTTAAGTACAATAGCTGTCACGATTTCCTGCTCTTGTTGTTTAATAACTCTGATTATGAATGCATGGTGATCGTTGCAGTATATACGTATTTAATCACATACGTGGGTGCATGGGGGTGATCCATAGATTGCAGCAACAAACTCTGAACACACACCAACCAAATTAAGCTGTTGCAATGCTGCATATACGCAGACGATTGCATCGTCGTCACAACCTATAATAAACAAATAAATTTGCAGGTTTGGAGACGGGATGAGAGGCGCCTGTGGTTGCGTTTGGTTGTGACCTGGATCGCCTCGGCCTATGGCTAGCAGGGAGCAGATAGCAGGAAAAGCTTTATAATTTGATGCATATGGCCCATGCATCGACGAGAGCATGTACTTGCTCCCAAAAATGCATTAATTTGTTAAAAATGTTTAATTGCATGGCCCTAGATATGCTTGGCAATATGTGTGTGTATATATCTTAATTAATGTGTGAGGCATTATTGACATCTGAATATCTGATGAGGGAGTTGGTAGCAGTTGCTCCAAATGCAGAATGCATATGGCATTTGTTCTTCTTCAGGTTGTTCAATTCAATGGCGGCAGCATCAGAAGTTTCCCTAGTTATGGGAAGAATTAATGGAGAGATGGATGGATAGATGTGATCAATTTTCATCAGGTGTGTGATGACTGAAGATGCGTGTGTGATGAGAACGGCGCCTGAATTATTGGGAGTATTGTATTCAGAGCATTTGACGTCTGTTTTTCAGCTATTCATACGCTGGTCTTGTGGCCATGAGGACTGAAGAAGAATCTTGCTCTCTTGTATGTAGTAGCTCAATAATTACAACTCAAAAACTTTAGATCTCGATGATTAGTTCCCACAGTAATGCACTCAAATCGATAGGTTTTCTGTTGTGAAATGGCCAAAAAAGCTTTAGTACTGATCTGATAACTGAACTGTCAGAGAAACAGTAGAAGAGATAAAGCAACGACAGTTTCAGTTCCAGTTTCAGCTTTAATTTCCTCCATAATTTCCGTGGGCAAGAATGGGAGAGAAAGGGGTGTTTGGATCCAAGGACTAAACTTCAGTTCCTGCCATATCAGATAAATTTAGAGTATTAAACATAAGCTACTTATAAAACTAATTACATAAATGAGAGCTAATTCGCTGACAAATTTTTTTAAGCCTAATTAATCCATAATTAGTACATGTTTACTGTAGCATTACATAGACTAATCATGGATTAATTAAGCTCCATAGATTCATTTCGTGAATTAGTACAGAGTTATAGAATAGGTTTTTACCAATAGTCTATATTTAATATTTATAATAGTATCCAAACATCCGATGTGATAGGAACTTAAAAAAGTTCTGCACTGTTTACGTGCACTTTCACAATGTCTGAATCCCGTTTCGTTGGCCCACTTTACAGCCAACACATGTGATTTCCGTTCGTCAAGCAGGCAGGATTTTGCCGAAATCGTTGACTCCGGCAAGCTCGTACGGCCGATTCCTGCAGCAGCAAGCGACAGATACTCGCCAGCGTTTTTTCAGATCAAGATAAAATTTACTCTGAACCCTCTCATGGTCCAGGAATTAATTTCACCGTGCTTGCTTGCTTGCTTGCTTTCATAGCAGAATTATCTCTGATCATCAACGCGTAATTGCGGCTTTTGGCGTGAGGAGAGCAGAGCAGGAGATCATCTGAATTTTTCTTGTTCTCGAGTAGATCAGTAGCTCTTATTAATGCTTAAGAAAAAAAAAGTCAATATAGATTACAACAAGAATCCAACTACAGGCCATCTACTGAAATTCGTAGCTGGAGGACGTGTCAATGGAGAGCAAGATCTTCAGGATGTAAGCAAGCAGTAAAGTGCGTGCTGATCATGGAATTTGTTGGGCTAATCATGATTAGAAGCTGCCAATTCTTGCATTAGGACATGAAGGTCGTTATCTTGAAATGGAGCCAAAGAGGCAAAGATGCAGACCTTTTGGGTGTCCTTTTCTTCGGCTTGAATTGGTGGCCAAACCGAAAGCATCCTGATTCACTGCATGGTGCACTGCTGTCAGATTGGTCCAAGTTTTCTCCTCCTCACAAGCTTCAGGTGTGTGTGGATGCTATGCAACCATGCAAACTTTCAGGATTATGCAACAGATTCACACATTGTGAAGGCAAAAGATTGTATAATTCTGCAAGCAATTTGGTGTTGGATGACTTAGACCAGCAACATATTTGCATGTATCTTCAGGTAATCAGGTACTATTGTTCATTGGGGAACAATGCCTTCTGTCATGTATATCTGTTGTGTTGTATGTTGTAATGATACTGGAAGTAATCTGAACATGTTTGCAAGGTTTCTCTCCCGAACGAGAGACCAAATACATTTTGATGGTTGATGAGGTAAAATGTTAACAAAAGAAAAATCTGTGTTATGTGCGCAGTTATGCAAAATTTGCCGCTACTTGTGATTTGCTGAGATCATTTCAACCAGCTTGCCGTGCAGAGCACCGTTGGTGACGAGAACACCACCTGAAGGGTAAATGTCTCTGCGCCCAGTTAGGTCAGCTGCAAGATCCAACGGTTTCCCACTCCAGTCACTAATCTGTCAGTTGAACAAATCACAAAATCACCATGGTTAATAATGTTAACATTGGTGAACTGATGGAACAAATGTGCATTTCGTCGAGTCCTGGCTTAACAAGTGTGCTGTATACCTGACCTCCAGCTTCCTGTACACAAATTACTCCGACAGCATGATCCCAAGACTGCAAACAGTGGGAAAGGAAAGGATTACTGCAGCTACAAACTAAGTCAACAGTTTGTTCAGCTTGGACGGAAACTCCCAGATTCAAGTGATCACCTTGAGATTTTTCGTCCGTGCTCGAAGTACAAAAACGGAGGCTCTCCCAGAAGCTACAGTTAGGTACTTGCACAAGCTATGGAAGATCAACAAGAAGAGCGCATCACGATCACTCATGCACCGACCAATCCATAATCATTTAAGATGGTCACTATCAGACTAAGACATCTACTTATGTAGGAAATCTCAGAAGTAATATGATAGCAGCAGAGAGCAAAAGAAAACAAAAAAGATATTTCACAATTTATTTTACTGATAAAACAATAACATAACAAATCAATCACAATATTTTAGGATGGGAGGAAATATCCATCAATACTTGAAATAACTTTTACCCGTTCATTCGCACCATGTTTTAAGTTTTAATAACTGGAATAGTAACACACATCATATGTAAGTAACATAAGGGAAGTGCAACAAACCTGCCACAGTAAACAGATAAGAGGAGAATTTCATTCTCATCTCTAGGATTGGATTCATCCATTGTTGAGTTGAAGAGAACAGATAGCGGTATCATATTCCAGGTTTGGCTATCAGGAATGCAAAAGCGTGCCATGTTCACAACTGAACAAGAATCCACTAAGCATCTATTCCAAGTACTCTGTGCCGTAGTGAACTGGCCAATATCGACAGACAAATGCCTAGACCAAGTTCCACAGCCCACATGAGCAATCATAAGGATCCCATGATCAGGTTGGGCAGCAGCGCTGTCTTCTTTTCTGCTGGCTATGGTAGCATTAGACCAATTAGGACATCCCATCACTCCTGCTACTACCTTTTCATTTACCACAAGAGCCAGCCCCACCTTAAGGTAAAAAAACATATCACTATATCAGGATAAGGAAAAGGACTGTGAACAAAATGATTAAAGATGCAAGTATTGAAATTCCTTGAACACTGGTTAATTTGACAAATCCCATATATAACAGCAAAAATATAAAAGCAAACAGAGTTGGTTTAGAGTTTCGGACATGACATATATTCCTGCACGATGTTACAATATATTTAAGATGATACCTCAAAACAAAAAAAGTGTCTTAGCCAGAAAAATAGCAGTAATATTCTTAAACTCAGTTAAGAGATGGTGATATTTATAGTGTTGCATTTATTTCGTTTTATTTCGATGAACTGGGACTGTTCTACAGATCCTCAAGGCACATACGCCTGCGTCCAGTGACCTTGAGAAAGGTAGAGGGGGGAGCAAATGCCCATAAGGTCGATTATGCTTTTTGATGCATGCATGTAGATTACTTGTGCAAATGGCAGGTGACTGAAAAAGGTCCTCAGGTGGTCAGACATATGATATACAATACAGATGGTCATTTCAAAGCAGACATATCTGACATAAAATGGCCAATCTATGCAGGGTTCAGGAACAACCGTGCTTGTGAAATGAAAATAAAGTTTTCATGCATGAAACTATAATCTCTCTATATTGATGTGTTTATGCTTGTGCAATGAATATATACATGCACATATAACAATGAATAGCACATATCAATGGAGGTTCAACAGTATTCAAAGATGAACCATACAATGGAAGAATAGAGAACCATACCACATACAGAGCATCGTCCCCTCCCAAGAAACCTTTTGTGCCATCAATTGGATCAAGTACCTTCAAACCACAGTACCACGTTTACTCAGTTGAGCCAACTCATGTAGCTGTGGATTTATGGTAAATGGAACTTGGAAGCTTACTGCCTACCCAATAACTAGCAGGATTTGAATCAAAGGATACAGCATTCTTGCCTCCTCTATCAATAGCTCTCAGCACATCATCATGAGTTAAAAGTGAATTGGCGTTACTCACTTTTTCTGCAACAGCACTTGAAATTGACTCAACAAGAACATTACTACTGTTATCATCAGTATTGGATGACCTCAGAGAAGCTGAATCCTCTTCTGCCACCAGAGGTATTGACGGAAACAATCGCTGGAGCTCTTTTAGTAGCAACAAGGTAAAATTTGTCATCTGACAGAAGTGCAAAGTACATACCAAAGCTGATTGTAGAATAGTCTTATGAATTACCTAAACTAATAAGAGCTTGTACTCCAAAATCTGCAACTGTGACAGGAGTTTGGTCATTCTTTTCAAGAATCTTCTTGTCACCCGAAAGCAGCGTTCTCTTCACCTGTCAAGATGTACAATTGAAACTGGAAATTGCAGTTCACGCCTTCTCTTTACAGTTAAGTGTTGACAAGCATTTACATTTGTTCTACCAAAACCAGATGATAACCCACAAAATTACAAAGGACTGGGTACAATCTATGACGGTGCAACATATTAAAGAAAGCATCTTGTGTCTCCAATCGTACCCATGCTCACTTCCACCTATCTCTCCAATCCAGGCTAGATCAAAGCTATTTCACTCTTTTGGTTGATTTGAACTAAAATGGAAACCTGACCCTAAGAAACTCTGTACAAATTTGTTTGTGTACTCTATTCTTTATGTTTCTCCATAAGTAATCCTTTACTGATCAAAATGTGTCAGCTGCCACTAGCATGGTTTGGATATCCTAAGCCACATGTTATATTTTGCATGAAGATGTGGTTTGATTAGAGAAAGATTAAATGAAAAAAAAATCTAGGTACACGGCTATTACTTTTAAACACTAATGTTAGGCACATTTTCATTTTCACTTCTTTTTTTTTTAACTAACACGATTAAATTAACTGTTCCACGGTAAAGAGATTGTTCACATACTTGAAGCAAAGACAAACCATAAGTGTAACACTTAGAGAAAACAAACTTATTGAATTGTTCTACCAAAGCTAGTGGGTACATGAAAAGGTTGTCAGGACTGCAATCCTTGGTAGGACTGTTTTGATTAACTGGATCTGATTGTATGCAAACTCGGTTTTAAAGCTCTTTGATTAATTGCAGTTTCTGGGAATATTTTTGTACAGCTAGAACGAATTGGGGTACACCTAAAGTATCATGATTTCCCATTTAGTCTATCACAATTCACAAACCTCACCTCCTAGAGAAAAATTCTTTTGAAAAAAATCGCAAATTAATTGGTCGATTCTAGAATATTTCTATGAGCTGCATTGTCAACAAATGGAGAATGTGAGACGCCGCTCTCAAAATTCCCCCATTGAAGTCTCCGGCTTCACATGAAGTGCACCAATTTTAATTCCATTACCACCCCCACATGATTCAGGATATGAACCCAAACAGAAATCAACCCCACTCACAAATCTAAAAAGCTCTCCAGTTTCTTCACAAACAGGCAGGAGAGGGGTTATGAAGCCAAACTCACGTCTACGCAGAGGCGGCAGGCGCGCTCGACGGCCGCGGCGGCCGCCGCGAGCTCCCGGTGGTGGGCGGCGCGCTCAGGAGGGAAGGGTAGCCCGTACGCCTCCGCCGCGGCCGCGGCCGCCGACGCCGCCGCCCTATCCAGAATACAAACACATGAGCCACTTAGGGCGGCGGCGGCGGCGGCTGTCGGAACTCAAACGAGCGGAGAATACGGTTAGGGTATCCAGGAGAGGGATCACCTGACGCGGACGAGGGAGCGGCGGCGAGCCGCCGGGAGGAGTAGGCGGCGGCGGCCGCCGCCGGCGAGGAGGAGGCGGTGCGGCGGCGGCGAGAGGTGGAGGAGCGGCATTCGCGCGTGTGGCGGGAGCGAGACGGCCCAATGCTGTCACCGGAATATTCGCAGGTATATTCGCGAATACGCCTCACGACGCGAGTATACCACCGCCGTCCACTGACCTGAGGAAATTTGGCCCATTAGGCCCCATAATCTTGGGCCTGAGATTCTTTTTTTGCCGGGTCGGCCGAAGGAACGGCGACCAAATTTTATTAAGATGGGGGAAGTACATAAAGTTACAAATTGTTTCTTGCTTATTACAACGACAGGAAGCTGTCGAGATGGTGCTATGGCAAAGCCACAGCAACCTGCAAGCTAGGAACAGCTACATTGAACAGAAATTTTATGTGGTACTACTCACGAAATATCAGGCTTCCTTCCAGACCATAATCTCTTCCTTAATAGCCTCCACGAGTTGGTCTGGCCTTCTGGTTCGCTGCTCAAACACCCTTGCATTGCGTTCTTTCCAAATCTGCCAACACATGAGCATGCAGGCACTATCAAAGTTGCTCCTGTAGCTCTTCCGAAAACAGAGCCTCGCTTGTTGGGCCTGAGATTCGGCCCATTGCTCGCCACTTTCTTTCAGGTTCATACAGAAAAGTCTACAGATGTTAACAAGAGAGCTAGTATCCTTTGTAAATTACATCAAAATATAATATTACTATGATTGCGAGACGGATTTATAAAACAAATGACAGATTCATACATTGTGAAGGCAAAAGATTGTAGTAATATAATTCATTAATTCTGCAAGCAATTTGATGTAAGATGACTTGACTAGCATGTTGGCATGTATCTTCAGGTACTCATTGTTCAGAGGGGAACAGTGTATTCTGTCATGCATATCTGTTGCTGTAATGATATTAGAGGTGATAAGTGATATGGACATGTTTGCAAGGTTTCTCTCCTGGATGAGAGACCAAATACAGCTTGATGGTCGGTGAGGTAAAATGCTACCCCAAAAAAAATGTGTCATGTGTGGAGCTATATATGCAACATTGCAGCTACTTAGTAATTCGCCTTGATCAATTCAGCAAGCTTGTTGTGCAGGACGCCGTTGGTGATGAGAATGCCACCATGAGGGTAAATGTCTCTGCGCCCAGTTAGGTCAGCTTCAAGATCCAAAGGTTCCCCTCTCCAGTCAGTAACCTGCCAGTCAAACAAATCACAGAATCACCATGGTTAATAATGTTTCAGTGTTTACGTTGGTTAATTGATTGAACAAATGCTAAGCGTGTTATTCCATACTTGGCCTCCAGCTTCCTGCACACAAATTACTCCTACAGTATGATCCCAAGACTGTAAACAGTGGAGAAAATAAAGGATCAGTGCGGTTATAAACTAAGTCAAGAGTTTGTTTAGTTTGGACAGAAACTGCAAACAAGATTTCACCTTGAGGCTTTTCGTCCGTGCTTTAAGGACGAAAACTGAGGCTCTCCCATAGGCTACAGTAAGGTACTTGCACAAACTACGGAAGATGAATAAGAAGAATGCATTCGATCACTTATACTGACCAATTTATAAATAATTTAAGATTAGTCATTATCAACCTAGGCATGTACTTATGTAGGAAATCTCAAAAGTATTATTACAGCAGCACAGCACAAGAGAAAAAAAAACAAAAGGATATTTCACATTTTTAGATCTTGCTGACAGAACAATAGCAAGTAATGAAGAACAATCACAAGATAGCAATGTGTTATGAAATATTTTTTGCTCATTCATTAGCACAACGTTTTAACTGATTAGGAGTAGTAACAACATCATACATAAGTAGCATATAGGCTATAGGAAGTGGAACAAACCTGCCAGAGAAAACATATGAAGTAAGAAGTTCATTCTCATCTCTAGGTTTCGATTCATCCGTCGTTGAGTTGAACACAACAGATAGTGGTATCATATTCCAGGTTTGGTTATCGGAAAGGCAATAGCGTGCCTTGTGTACAACAGAACAAGAATCCACGAAGCATCTGTTCCAAGTATCCTTTGACGTAGTGAACTGGCCAAACTCATCATACAGGCGCTTAGTCCAAGCACCACAACCCTCATGAGCAATCATAAGGATCCCACGATCATAACGGGAAGCAATGCTGTCATCTTTTCTGTTGGCTATGGTATCACTGGCCCAATTAGGACTTCCCATGACTCCTGCTACTACTTTTCCATTCACCACAAGAGCCAAGCCCACCTTGAAGTTAAAAAAACATATCAGGATAAGGCACAGAACAGTGAACAAAACTGCCAAAGATATAAGTATTGAAATTCCTTGAACACTGGGTTGACAAATCCATATCGAAAAGCGATCATATAAGAACAGGCAGATTTAGTGTTCAGAGTTTTAGACATGAAATTTATCCCTGCAAAAAAGTTACAGTAGATTTAGGATGACACCTCAAACAAAAAGGTGCCTGACCCTAGTCCAAAAAGACTGAACTAAAATTCTTAACCGCAGTTAACAGACAATGACAATATGTTGCTACATATGCTTCGTTTCAATGAACTTGGGCTATTCTATTTCTAAGGTCCTCAATCCATACACACCAGCATTCAGTGAACGTTGTAAAAGAATAAAGAGGCGAGAGCAAATGCTCATAATTTTGATTATGCTTTTAGATGCAAGCCTGGCCACACATATGATATCAACGAAGGTAATCATTTGAAATTGAACATGCTTGACATGAAAAAGGGTGCCCAGAAATATCCAGGATTCAGGACCCACGCTTGTGAAATGACAAGAAATTTGTTGTGCACAGAACTATAACCCCTCATATTGGTGTATATGCTTGTTGCAGTGAATGTACACATGCACATGTAACAAATATGGCTGCATAGCATGTATCAATGGCAGATGAATACTATTCAAAGATGAACATTATAATGGAACTATAGAGAAACATACCACATACAGAGTATCATCCACTTTCGAGAAACCTTGTGTACCATCAATTGGATCAAGTACCTTCAAACCACAGCACCATCTTTATTCAGCAGACCAACTTTTGCATATGTAGATTTATGGTAAACAGAACTTGGAAGCTTACCACCTACCCAATAAGTAGCGGGATTTGAATCAAAGGATGCACTATCCTTGCCTCCTTTGTCAATAGCTCTCAGCACATCATCATGAGTTAAAAGTGAATCGGTGTTACTCACATTGTCGGCAACAGCACTTGAAATTGACTCAACAAGCACATTGCTACTGTTATCAGCATTAGATGACCTTAAAGAAGCTGAATCCTCTTCTGCCACAAGAGGAATTGATGGAAACGATCGCTGGAGCTCTTTCAATAGCAACAAGGTAAAAATTGTCATCCAATAGAAGTGCAAAGTATATATGAGAGCTTAACGGAGGATTGTTCTATGAATTACCTAAACTAATAAGGGCTTGCACTCCAAAATCCGCAACTGTGACAAGAGTTTGGTCATTCTTTTCGAAAATTTTCTTCTCACCTGAAAGCAGTGATCTCTTGACCTGTCAACATGTACGATCAGCATTCGGGCCTTCTCTTCACAGTGAAATGTCAAGCATTCACATTTGCTCCACCATAACCGACGATTAGATGATAAATCACAAAATGACAAACAGATATAGTACAGTCCGTGTATGGTGAAATACAGTAACCAAAAGCCTCTTTGTTTTCCAATTGTACCCATCCTCACTTCGAGTAACTTTGCCAATCCAGGCTAGATAAAATAAATTCACTTATTCTTTTGGTCATTCTGAAGAAAAAGACCTGAAACACAAGAATAACTCTCTAGCAATTTGTGTGGATTGTATCTCTTTTGTAATGTTTTTCTATAAGAATTTATATAGTCGAAACTTGATAGGTGCCACTAGTATATTTTTATTAGGTTTCCTAAGATACATGTTATTGTTTGCTAATAATATAGGTATAAGGTTAAGTTATCAACAGTTCAACACTAATGCTAAGCATATTTCATTTTCACTCCTTTGTTGGACTACATTGACTAAATTAACAGTTATCCGGCGAAGGTGAGATTTAGATCAGATACTCCAAGAAAAAAACCGTAAGCGTAATATTAAGACAAGACGAACCTATTGAATCGTCACCAAAGCTGGTGGGTAGACAGGTCTGTGATCCTAGGTAGGTTTGTTTCGATTAACTGGACACACCTTGAAATATCATGATTTACCAATGGTCTATCACAAGTAACCTCCTAGTCCTGGAGAGCAACTCATAAATATTTTTGTTTAGTGAAAATTCATAATGATATTTACCTCGAAAGAGCATGCTTCATGAAAATTAGTTGCTCGTTAAACATTTCTCCCAGTGTATTGCCGGGAAATCTAGAACATGAGACGCCGGTGCCCAATTTTCTCTGGAAAAAAAAACTCCATTGAACACTCGGCTTGACAGTTGACATCAAATTTTTTTTTTTTTTTGCTCTCGGTATCACCTTCACGCGATGCAGCATTGCAGCCATGACCCATGAGCCAAAACTGAAATTAATCCCACGCACGAACCCCAAAAGTGCCCAATCCGGCAACCTACTCGAGAACAGACGAAAGGGGGGGAGGGGATGGGGTTAATTAACTCACGTCTACGCAGAGGCGGCAGGCGCGCTCGACGGCGGCGGCGGCCGCGGCGAGCTCGCGGTGGTGGGCGGCGCGCTCCGACGGGAAGGGGAGCCCGTACTCCCCCGCGGCCGCGGCCACCTCCAACTCCACCGACGCCGCCGCCCTACCCGCGATGTCGGAAACTCACATTAATTAGCCACTGAGACAGCGGCGGCTGCTGCCACAAGTAGGCGCGCGCGCGGGGAGAGGGACGGTTCACCTTACGCAGACGCGGCGGGGAGACGGCGGGAGGAGTAGCAGCCGGCGGCGGCGGCGGCGGCCGCCGGCGACGAGGAGGAGGCGGTGCGGCGGGAGGGAGATGTGGAGGAGCGGCATTTTCGCGTGTGTGGCGGGAGCGAAAGCCTCGATCGAATTTAATGCAACCGAGTTGTACGTATTCGCAAAGTATATTGGCGAATACAACACGTGATAGTATTATACGGAGCCGTATATGTAGTAGACAAGATATGTGTAAGCCTCTCAAATCTCAATACGAGTGTACCACCTGCATCCAACAATTTGCATCTTTGAGGATATATTTTTTTATAGGGACATATTGTATAAAAGGAATCTGATGATAGATTGGACTGGGCCCGAAATTTTGTGAACCCACCATTTAGAGAAAAAAAATGTCTAGAAATTAAAAATGGAGATTCGAATCAGCCACAATAGTGACTGCAAGTGAAGCAGATGAATAACAACCGGATACTATTCACTCGAAATTTGTCTTTTTTTTTCTCTTAAACAAAGTTGAGTTTTGAATTGAGATTTGGTGAGAATGTATTTCATATCTACACATATCTCTAATATTTTTTTATGACTTTACAAAACATTTAGGTATGATTTTCACAAGTTTCTAACACTTAATCCGTTTTCACCGAATATGTCCTCGTTAGTATGCACTATGGCCAATGGGATGCATATGGGACGATCTAGATCGTGTGCTGTACTGTTCACAGTACTGTAGCAATAAATATTGTAGCACAGAACATTGTTCACATGGTTGATGTAGCTTTAAATCTAACGGACGGCTAAAGTTATATGCAGTTGTAAGTATAACTACACCTAATCTGAATTTGGGAAATGCAATGGGTAAAATGTTCATGTTAAGTTAAACACAAGTTTGTTATATCAGGGGATAGATGCCATCCTCCTCATTCGGTCAAAACGCCAAAGGAAAAGATGTTCTTAGAATTGTAGTATAAGTTGGTTCGAATAGCTCTCAACTAAGTATTTAACTTGGAAAAGGCTTTCGTATTTGTCAAATACCATTGAGTGAAAAAATACTACTCGAGTAGAAAAATGCTACTTGAGTAGTGGGAAAACGCTACTTCAGTGGAAAAATACTATGTGAGTGGAAAATTACTACTTGAGTAGAAAAATACTACTCGAATGGGAAAGTACTACTCAAGTACGAAAATACTACTCGAACGGTAAAGCTCTGTTTTGAGTAAGCTAAGCTAACGATGCTCGAGTAGTTTGCTTTACCTGTGTGGATTTTCTACCTGTGACAGTAAAAGTCTAAGGGGTCAATAGATTAGAAAGGAATGTTCGAGCCCCCAAGATGAAAAGGGCATTTTGACCAAAGAAACTATAAGGAGCTTGAGAGAAAGTACTGCTTAAATAAGGAAGACGCCGAAAGAAGATTCTGTGGGATCTACTTATAACCACTACTGCCAGTTGGCGCCAAAAGACCATGATGACCTTCAAGATATACTAAAATGCCCCTAAGTTTGTAAACTTTGTAAGGGCATTAAAGTAAGCTCGCATGTATGAAAACTCGCATGTATGGTTGAAGATTATATAAGCCAGCCAAGGCCATGTAGCAAGGACAAGGAATCATTTAATATAAAATACCACTTGATGAGACATGACATTTTGTGTTTGAGTTCATTCTTAGGATAGACAGGGAAAACATACTTTCCCACCTATACTGAACTTGTCGGTAGCGTTAGCTTAGCTTACTCAAACAAAGCTTTACCATTCGAGTAGTATTTTCCTACTAAAGTAGTACTTCCCCACTCGATTAGTATTTTCCTACTCAAGTAGTACTTTCCCACTTGAGTAGTGTTTTTTCACTCAAGTAGTTCTTCCCACTCAAGTAGTGTTTTTCATCTTAAGTAACGTTTTCCCACTCAAGTAGCGTTTTTCCACACAAGTAGTGTTTTCCCACTCGAGTAGTCTTTTTGTACTCAAGTAGTGTTTTTGTACTCAAGTGATATCTGATAAATTACTAAAGCCTTTTCCAAGTTAAACACACACTTATAGTTGAGAGCTATTCGAGCCAACTTGTACTATGACTCTCAGAACATCTTTTCCTTTTGCGTTTTGACCGAATGAGAAGGATGGCATTTACCCTCTCGAGGGGATGTCCCCTCGTTACTTGCATGTCATCTAAATAATTATAAAAAAATTAACAACATAGATTAATATGAAATATATCACTCCACAAACATGCAAGGCCAAATTCGATTTCTACAAGTTGCAACAAAAAAAATTAAACTGAAAATATTTATCGTACATTTGGTAGTTATATTTATTATTTTTGTTATAATTTGTAGAAGTTGAATTTGGCCTTGCATGTTTGTGGAGTGATATATTTCATATTAATTTATCTTGTGAGTTTTTTCCAAAAAGTTTTGTAACTATTTAGGTGACATGCACGAAATGAGGAGATATCCCCTCGAGAGATGAAAAACACGTTTCCCCCTCATCACCACTACCGCTCTCTCCTTGACCAAAACTGACGTTTGGAATGATTTGGAAAATTAGGGTTTGCCTCGGCAAGATATTCAACGGGAAAAGAAAAATCCATACTTCCACCTCAATTTCCTTCTGTCAATACCCATACATGAATGTGCTTGTACCTCCCAGTACTGACAGTTTTGAGACATCTAATCTCGTCAAGTGGATGGTTCAGATTTGCTACCGACAACCCATGCCGAAGGACGGTAAAAATTATTTTAATCAAATATGGAAGAAAGGGAATGATAATAGTGTTTATTTTGTGAACCTAACGTAGCTCAGCTAGCAGGGCATTCTTATTTATAACTAATTATTTTTTTTCAGTGATAAACAATATACCTATTGATAGCGAGACACCTGTTATAACTTTATTAATATCAATACATGTCAGGTAAAGTCTATGCAGTGTGCATATGTGCATTCACAGTCACACTCACTTAGTCAAATACCAAGATCGATCGATCGATGTACAAGTGGATGCATTAATTCATCATCTTGGGTGTTCTTATATTACAAATCACCACCATGCAAGTCGCCATTAACCACCAACCCAGCTTTCCTAATTTAAGTAGTAATCAACAAAAGGATGACCTCTCCTCTCTCCATACCCTCCCAGCTCGCTCGTCATCACAAAACTAAACAGCGCGCGCGAACGCACACCAACGCATCGATCCCGTTTGAATTGCGCGCGAAAGAGCTTAAATTAAGAGGATGAGGAGAAGGTGTCGAAGATGGTGGTGTGGAGCGGGTCGCTGAGGTGGGTGGCCCAGTTGTTGAGGGGCCCCTTGCCGGTGGCGGCGGCCTGCACGGCGAAGCCGAGGAAGGCGACCATGGCGAGGCGGGCGTGCTTGATCTCCGCCAGCTGCAGCCGCTCCTTCTTCTCCGGGTCCGACGCCAACCCGAGCGGGTCGAAGTAGGACCCCCCCGGGTACAGCCTCTTCTCCGGGTCCAGCTCCGCGTTGCGCTGGAACTCGATGTAGCCGATGACGAGCACCTCGATCCAGATCAGCGTCGAGATCGAGAACGGCAGCGGCTGCCCCAGGTACGACGACCCATCCACCAGCTCCACCTGAAAAACACCATCGGACCATTCCTACGTCAGTGTCATCATCCTCGTCCGCGGCGCCGGCGATACGTAGTAACCAGGGTTTTAAATCTTTAGCTATAACTATTTAAAAAAAGATGTAGCAATTTGTTCTCATGTACAATTTAGTCATAGCTGCCACTATTTTGAGAGGCTAAACGCTAAATGTTTTAGCCCGCTAGCTATTTGAAACAATGGTAGTGAGAAACGCCCAGAGGTTTTTCGGCTATCCCCACGGGCTAGACGACCTGGATTTGAAACCTTACTCTTTCTAATTATTTGATATAATAGGTCATTTTTTAATATTTGCTTTTTAAAAAAAATGCTGGTAGTAATGTATGGGGGAGTATCGTGTACCTTGCCGGCGTCTTGCCAGGTGACGCCGGTGAGCCACTCGACGGAGAGGGCGCCGAGGGTGGCGAGCATGGCCCAGCGGCCGTGGATGAGCTCGCACTCGCGGAAGCGCTGGAGGCCGAACACCTCGGTGTAGGGCTGGAACGGGGTGGACTTCACCTCGCCGGTCTCGAACCGGGTGCCGATGATCTCGCCGGCGTTGTTCTTGGCCAGGTTCTGGTCCAGCGAGTCCAGCTCGAACTGCAGGTACTCCGCCGGCTTCCCGAGGCCGAACGGGTCGAAGCCGTAGTCGCCGACGAGCGACCCGTCCAGGTAGTCCGGCGCCACCGCGCCGGGGAACCACAGCGGCCTGTCCGTCGTCGGCGCCGACGGCCTCGCCGCCTTCTTCGCCGCCGCCTTCTTCCCGCCGCCGAACCCGAACCTCGCCACGATCCTCCCGCTCTGCGGCGCCGGGTCCGCCAGCCTCGTCCCCAGGAACGTGCTCGCCGCCGCTGCCACCGACGACGCCATGGCTGCTCCTCTCCTTCTTCTCCTTCTTCGAGAATGTGTGGGTGGTGGTGAGGGGGGGTTCGCCATTGGGGTACAAATAGGGTGGCTTATAACACATTCGCGGTGTTATCTCCGCGTGGCAGATCGGACGGTGCAGAAGGGGGCTGTGATCTATCTGACGGCCACGGTTGGCTCTGCCTTATCCGGGCCTTATCTGTATGGCCCTATGGATGGGGAGGTTTGCCATGGGGTTGGTGACACGTGGAGGGCTGGGATTGGGTGATGGGGGTTTTGGAATGCTTTGTGATTTGTGGTCTTCAGGGTGGATGGGCCCCAAAATATCGGGCGAAAATAAATCTTTTGGCTGTTTTGCAGCTCTGGCACCTTTGTAAGTTGAGTTAGCATTTCAGTCCTGAAATCACAATGCAGCAATCTGTGAATGGACAATGGAGTTTGTAAAGCTCTTCTTGGAACACGCAAATTTTATATGTTGGGTCAAGACTCAAGAGTTTCATTTTTATCTTAAGATTATGGATAGAAATCCGGACTTTATATCCACTTATGGATATACACTGCCAAGATTAAGAGTTCTATTTGCCAATCAATTCAGTTGAAGGCGAGTTATTTGAAAAGATGGCATCCAAGAAGGGAAAAAGAAATCTATAAGTTTTAGAATCGCCACGCCATTGCCGTTTGAATTCATGCAGTTCAAATTTGGGAGAGGATTGCTTCAATTTCTGTCATGTTGGATGGACATGCAAACGGCTAATGTTTCAATTAACTTAAAGTATTCTTGGATTATTTAGGGCAATTTATTTCTGGTAGGTTGTAAGGTACATTTTATTTACAGATTACTAACTTGTTTGGTAGAGCTCTAAGTCTAATATGGAGCTAAAAAAAAAAACTTAATATGGAGCTGAAGTTGTGAAACTAGAAAATGGTAGCTCCACCCTTCATATATATTTTGTGAAGCAGATCCATCCACTCCACTCTTAGGAGGATCTAGGAGTGTTTGGTTTGGCTCCTGCTCCACATAACAAGAATCTAGAGCTAGAACCCAACCAAACAAGTCCTAGATTTTCTGGCATATGATCCAATGCAGAAAAGTCTTCCTGCTCGTTTCCACCACTGATATTCCTGATACATACAGATCCAAAGAAAGAACTTGTGACCGATTTCATTTTCATCATGAAGAGATAACTGAACAATATATTTTTCATCTTGTGAGTAACATTGATCCCCACATACCTCTTCATATATTGTCAAAGAAAAGGAAAACGATACATTTGAACACTGAAAAGGAGAATTACAAAAAAAATATAATGCTCAGTAGTAAGAACAATCTGGATCCTTTTATACGGCAGAATACAAAACCACACGAGAGCAGCCAAAGTGTCCGTGCAGTGAAAGGTGACCTTGATAGTTTCTCAACGTGATCCAGAACTCTGTTAAAATCTGTTATCCACGGTAGCACTCACTCCCCTTATGAAGGCTTGAGTTAATGCCTCATGGAATTGAGACTCCCGTCAAATTTCGTAACAGCTTCATTCGATTTTGGGGTCTCTGATCTTTCCTCTCTCTTCTTCTTTTCCCTGCCAACAAAGTTGAGTTCAACTCGTTGAGATGATCAGTTTAACACAGAAAAACTGGGGAGGATACAAAATGTAAAGAGAAGGCAATATAAACTAATCCATTTGCCTGGGCTCATTGAAAGAGGAGAGATTTATGTGCTAAACAGTAAACTTCAAGTATAAAGCTATTAATATCACACAATTGTTGCAAAATAAAATTAGGAACATCCCTCGTGCGTTAGTAATATCAGTGATTGAACAAATCAGGGTTTGGGCAGTAAGAGAAGTGGGAAATCAGCGGATAAGTTGGTTACCTTTCCACGTATTCCTTGAGAAGTTCCTTAGCCTGGACCAATTTGGAGAGTATGTTCCGGTAAACATCGAGATCCCTGTCGACACTTCTTTTGTTGATGTTTAGAGCAGCGCAAAGCTGTCAAGGAAGCCATTGAAAATATTAGTGAGGTAAGTAGGTAACATCAAAGTGCACATTACATTTTGAGTTCACCAAATGACAAACATAACTGGCTTAAATGTTTCCTGAAATTATCATTGGACACTGAAAAAATTACTTGACTTGTACTATACTAGAATGCCTCAAGAATGCTTTTGGAGTTTTATCCTGTATGGAATCTCCCTATCTCCAATGAGTCCTCCCACAGAAAAGTCCAGATATGCCCCCAACATTGGTACTAAGTTAGAAGCCAAAACTGAACTCGAACCTCCTTAGTGCTATTTCCTATTCTGGCTTAAGAAACATCATAAATAATAGAAACCATCACAAACTTGAATTGTCAGTTGATCACATGCCATAACGATTAGAACATTTGCTAACCTCAACGTTTGAGGAGAAATATTTAGGAAAGCAGTTCGTGCGCACTCAGCTAGGGTAGTTAGATTTTAGAGGTGGGAGCTGTGGTTCTGAAGTGATAGGAATGAATGATGGAGTCGAGTAAGAGGCTTAGTCAATAGGAAAGTATGATGGAGTCGAGTCAGAGGCTTAGTCAATAGGTATGGAGGGCATGTTTGGTAGAGCTCCAACTCCTAAAATTTAACTCTAGGAGTTGGGTTCGGAGTGGAGTTGTGGAGCTGCCTAAACCCAAGCTCCACCTCTCTAGTTCATTTTGTGAGAGCGCTCCACCCAGCTCCACTCCCATTTTAGGTGGAGTTGAACTATTTGGCTGGGCTCCAACTCCAGGAGAGGCGGAACTGGAGTTAGAACTGTGCCAAACAGGCCCGTACGCTGTAGGATGGAATAGAGTCAGACTTAGTCCTTTACTAGTAATCTAGCATATCAGCGAAGTAGTAGGTTAAAAAGAACACCGCATAGACACTTAACCAGCTGTGGTTGCAAGATATTAGACAGCAGACACAAGCCAACCCCTTAATTGATTTGAGATAAATCCTTTCTTTCTGCGAAAACTAAAATGTATTGGAAACATGCTCTCTAAAATATAACTTGAGAAACACACATAAGCGTTATTAGAAGATATAATTTGGAAGTGAAGCAAAAATAAGTATGATAGTCAGAAACAAAATTATTAATGGCAATAACAACCTTGTCTAGTATGGTTGGCTCTGTTGCATTTGCAAGCTCAAGCAAACGGAACAAGCCAACTGCAAAGAACCGGCTGTAGCTGAAGCTTCCCTTACCCTGGGCCCTTTCTGAAATATCTTTCAGAATGGCCTCTATTTCTCCATCTTTGGATGAAAACTCAACTAAAGAATTACCATTCTGGGAACGAGCCCACTCTTCCATCTTTTGTGCGTCAGCTCTGAAGAAAGAACAGAAAACACTTACTATGATTGCTTGGAAAGACACCTCTGTTGATGCCAAAACAAACTAGTAACCCAATAATACATTAGCTTTCATTGACGCAAATAAAGCAGATAATTGGTGATCCACAAATAAGCAAAGCATGCAACAAATAGATAGTGCAAAATGTGACATTTTTTACAGCGGCAAGATAGATAATTGCTACTATCTCTATAGGAAAAGGCTATGGTTGACATATGAATTCAACGAATTGGGGGTAATATTTATGCTGAAAATTCATGGCTGTGAATTATATAAATCTATAAAAAAATTACTTGGATCAATTAAGTGTAGGATATTGTTTGAAGGTTCAATTTGGTTATGAGAAATCTAATTGAATATAAAACAAGAAGATGCTAACATCACTGTGAATAAAAAACAGTTGTAAGTTACAGTAGGCACCTGTATTGCTCAGGGTCTTCGTTTAACGCTGTTATATATGCTTTGAAGATTGCATCCCTATCCTCATTGCTAGGGTACCCTTCCATGAGTTGGTCATAGACGGTCACAAAACCAAGAGCAAACACCGCATCATATTGATATGTTGTTTTGTATCTCATCAGATGTTGCTGTACCAAAAGTTCTTGTAGAACTGTACTGTAAATGCTTAGGATAGGACGCTTGTATGACTTGAGAAAATTCATCTTTGTTTCTGCGACAGTGGGTGGAACATCTGCACAATATTCAGAACAAGTGAAAAACGCTGTGGCGATAACTTGTTCATCATGCTGTGTACAATATGTTATAAGTTAGTTGCTGCCTTTGTGATCATAATAACTGAAAACATTTGGACATACAATGATCCAGTATCAAATACTTGACAAGTAATCGGCACTTGCTCGATGAATTGAAGAAAGTTGACAGGAAAGGGGGCAGAAGCAACAGAACACCATGAAGAAACTGTGGAACGAAATGAGCGGAAATATGTAAACGCATCAAATCGTTCTACAAGGAAGCATTTGGCAGTTTACTGCCACAATTCAACAGAAAAGCAGGAATCATAGGCCTGAACAGCTAACCAGGGCTTGTGAGGTTTGGCTAACATAAGATGATTGGCGCAAATACACAACTGATCCTGTTTCTCTGCTCCGGGGTCTCCCCGGCTCGACAGTTTAATGTCGTGTAAACTTGTAAACTCTCCTTTCATTCTTAATGAAATTTGGTCGGCTCCTTCGCCGACCCGGCAAAAAACAAATACACAACTGAATAGTCCTACCCTTCGCTATTTGTGGATCAAAATCAGCTAGATTGTTGAAAATCACATATGGCTAAACTAGTGATACGAAATTCTAAAAAAATTCCCAAGCTCGCATCTAAAACAGACATGAATTCCCTGCTAGAAAGAATAACCAAGCATCAAAACCGCATGGATACACAACTACAAATGCTAATTGTTCACCCAAAAATCACAGTTGCCAGTTCTTCCTCCAAACATAGGACGCTAGATTGGCTTGTAGTCCCCGCCACAAACAATCTTGCAGCATCCCCAAGAAGAACCAGGATCCAGATTTTGCTAGTGAAACCCCCACGCAAAAAGAGAAGCTCTTCTGTCGCAATCGAACGCACTACCACTACGTGTTCATCACCGACGCCAGAAGCACCAGTGAGTGAGAGAAAAAAAACAGAGAGAGCGCGAGCGAGCAAGCTCACCGCCCGCCGTGGCGACGCAGCGCACCACCGAGCGCGACCCCCGCCGGGGCCTCACGCTGAGCACGACGGCCCCCGCCCCCGCCCCCGCCGCCGCCGCCGCCGTCGACGGCCTGCAGTCGGCGGCCCGGCGCAGTGCCGCGAAGGGAAGCGAAGATATGGCCGCCATCGTGGAGTCCCCCGCCCACCTGCTGCCGATTCTCTCGCCGGAGTGCGGCGGCCGCCGGCGAGGGGTAAAACGGTAAATTAGGCGCAAAAAGGCGCGTGCGCGAGAGAGAGGAGAAAAGGCTATACAAGCTTGGGGTTGGAGGGATGGGATCTTCCCATCTTTCTTATCCAGTAGGCCTTGCTCAGGTTTCTCGACCACTACGGAGGCGCCACGTGTCCGCGTCACGCTTTCAAGTAATTTTCCTGAATTTTGGACGAAGTTTTAGCTTTTTTGGGGCGAATTTTTATGGGCGTGAGAGGTGGGATTTGCTTGCGGATTTGTGATTTGGACTTTGAAAAGATCGGAAGCAGTTGTTTTGATGGTTTAGTTTAGGACTTTAGCAGCTAATGACGATGGAAGTGTTTGGTGCGTTGCTACTCTGTCAGTGGTGTGTACGCAACAGAAGTGTTTGATGGTAAGACCGTTTTTGAAATATTTGTCCGTTTGTTTGGTTGATGTTATCCGTTGACGAGATTATATCAGCAAAACAAGTAAAAAAATATCCTGCAACTTGTAAATTTTTATTGAGCTACTAAGGCTGTGTTTGAGGAGAGGAGATAGAGGAGATTGGGAAGATACACAAAACGAGGTGAGTCATTAGCATATGATTAATTGACTATTAAGTATTTTAAACTTCAAAAATGAATTAATATGATTTTTTAAAGCAACTTTCCTATAGAATTTTTTTTTTGCAAAAAACGCACCGTTTAGTAGTTCGGAAAACGTGCGCGCGGAAAACGAAACAAAACTCACTCACAATCACCCAGATCACCTAGGAAAGAAGACAGCCTAAGAAGTCCTTAGGTTGTGTTTTACAGCTTTGAGATGCAAGTTAATCCCTTGCGTACGTAAAATGGAGCGACTCATTAGCATATAGTTAATTAAGTAGTAGTTTAAAAATGAATCACTATGATTTTTAAAAGCAACTTTCGTATAGAAATTTTTTCATAAAAAACACAATGTTTAGCAATTCAGGAAACGTGTACGCAGAAAACAAATGAGGTGGAGCTAGCAACTCACTTTGCCGAACGCAGCCTTATTACAAGGTCTAGCACTTAGGTCATTCACAATACAACTAGTTGTCATTCTCCCTCACCGAATCAGCTCAAAGATTCCCTCCACCTAGCATAGCAAGGAGCCTCGCCAAGATGGGGAGACAATGGCTCCCCGTTCTTCGTAAAAAGTGCAGCTTTTGGGCCCACAAGAGAAGAGGTGAAGAAGGGGGAGGGAGGGGAGAAGTGCCGATGCCGTCTTTCTCCCCGATCTGCGCCGGTCGGAGCTCGTCGGCCGCGTCATGTCACGCCTAGAAATTCCCGAATAAAATTCCAAGCAGAATGTGCATTAAAATCCCCGTCCAGGACCGGCCAGGGTACACAAACGACAATGTTGACATTCAGATCCACGTCTTACAATCATTATAAAAGTCTTACATAAATGCAGCGGAAAAACGAAAGACAACAGGAGCTAAGCCTTGACTAGAACTGCAGCGGGAATACCACTCCACAGGCATCCTCGACGGTACGGACGAAGCCTACTCCTCGGAGAAACCTCCATCTGACACATACTCGTACTCTGGGGTTGGGGAAAAAATAGAGCAAGACTGAGTACTACCCACTGTACTCAGCAAGTCATACCGGAATAGGGGTATGATGCAGGGAATTATCAAAGGAGAGCTAGAGTGGTTCATTTGCATAAAGCGAGTATTTATAAACAGAAGTTGAAAGAATTAAACAGTTGCAATAATTAATTAATATTGATCATCCGCTGTCCAACGCTATCCCACGTTGCAACAGGCCCAACCATCCATCTATACTATCCAATTTCATTAGACTAAACTAGGGTAAGACTAATCACGGTGAATCTGGTTGAGCGCCCATAACCGCGGGCACGGCTATTCGAATAGTTTTACTCTGATCAGAGGTGTACAACTGTACCCACAAGACACAGCCCCACGACACGTTTCCGTGCGCCGACATGCCACCACGACATACCGGAAAGAGGCCGTGACAGGACCCTTCGCATAACCCCCTCTAACCAAGCACACCACACCTCAGGTTTCACCCCCACTCCTCGCAAGGCAGCGGGCAGTCCCCTCTCGTGCCTAGGTGAATCCGGAAGCGACAGAGGCCGTCGCAGGGCCCGCCCCGCTCCATCACGCCCACCCTTGCCTGGATGCGTCAGCTAGAGGAAAGCTACACTACAAGCCCAGCCGTTGCCCACGCTGGCTTGTGGTAAGTACGATAAGTTCTTCCAGGGCATCCCGCGAACCGGTCCTTAACTGCCATGGGTGCGACTAGCAAAACCATGCACCCACAGCCCACCATGTGATTCATTTTAATTAACCAACACCAAAACGGTGGTACTAAACCAACCTTACCAATTGAACCTAAAGTCTATATTTTAGTGAGCTTTCCCCATTGTGTGCTAGTGGAACTAAGCATGGCTAAGCAATTCCTAGTCCAAAATCTATTCATGTTATAACCCAAGCTAACAAAGGAGCATGGTATCAAAAATGGCATGGCTGTAACAATAGGTAAACACCCCATAGTAACATTATAAAACAATGCAATATTTGAAGAAAAACAATAGAGCATTTGCAATATAGGATCAACATGTTCAAGTGACAAGCATGACTTGCCTTGCTCTGCTGCTGGAGAAACCTCGGCGACTATCTCGAAGTACACCGAAGCGTCGGAAGAACCGGAATCTAGCGACATACAAGGGAAACATTGCAAACAGGCTATAAGACTACTGAAACAGAGAACAAAACCATTTTTAATGGATTCTATACATTTTTCTTGATTTACTGAGACTTGAATGGGCTTAAACGGAGCACGGATGAATTAGTTATGAATTTTAGAAGATTCACTGTGTTTATTACTATAACAAAAAGTTCTTAAATCATTTATTGCGTAATAATTCCCAGGACTGACGTCATCAAGGGGGGCGAGGCGCCGACATGCGGGGCCCACCGGTCAGCGGCTCGGGAGAGAGGGAAAAGGGGCGCCGGCAAGCGGGCCCCACTCGGCAGCGGCTCAAGGGGGGTCCACCGTGGACCGGGACCACGCGGGTGGTCCACCGTCGGTCCACGGGACCGACGGCCCAGATCGCCCCCGGGGTTGATCGGACGGGCGGCGGCGACCCGGCTCGGCTCGGCTCAAGGCCGGCCGACCGGCCACGGCGATGGCAACGGCGCGCGCGCGCGAACGCGTTGCCGGCGACGGCAACCGGCGGCGGAGGCGACGGCGCAAAGGCGACGCGAAGGCGGCGGCGCTAAGCGGCGGCTAGGAAGGAGAGGGAGGGGAATAGAGGGGAGAGGAAGCCTCACCGAGGGTGGCCGGCGCGGAGGAAGACGACGGCGAACGGTGACGGCAAGCCACGGGAGGACGACGGCAACCGGCAGACGGGCTTCGGGGTGCCCTAAGGAAGGAGGAGAGAGAGATTAGAGAGAGGAAGATGAACCACAGCGGCCGGCATCCATGGCCGAAGGCGGCGGTAGAGGTAGAACTCACCAGAGCACGAGGGGATGCGAATTCCGGCGACGAATCCCGACGGAGGAAGGGCGGACGGGGTGGAGTTCGTCCTTGCGAACCCGACGGCGGCGACGGCGCGGTGCGGCGGCGAGCCTAGCGGCGGCTAGCGGCGGCCGGAGCGGCGGGAAAGGCGGCGGCGGGTGGGTGCACGGCGCGGGAGCGATGGGGAGCACGAGGGTGTTCGGCGAAATGGGGAAAAAGAGAGAGGGGGCGACGGCGGAGCTTAAATAGGAGAGGGGAGTCTTGGACGTGGCCGGTAGGGGCGAGATTCCGCCGGCCAACGTGGGGGAGTGGGAGAGGAGAGAGAGAGGCGGGATTCGAAAATCGAATCCCGGCCATCTCGGGCGCGGGCGCGGGCGGGAGAGAGAGGGGAGTGGGCGCGGGAGGTGCGGCGCATGCGCGGGCGTGACCGACGTGGCCCGGAGGAGGCGGAGGTGTGGGTGCGGCGGCAGTTGCGGGCACGGCGGCGCGGGCGCGAGGTAGGAGACGGGCCCGACCGGTGGGGCCCACCTGTCGGCGTCCCGGGTGGGAGGAGGGAGGCGGCCGGCCTAGCTGGGCCTTGGCCTTCGGCTGGCCCAGCGGAGGGGAGAGGAGGAAGGAGAATGGGCCGGCGGCCCACTCGAAAAGAAAAGGGGGAAAAAGAAAAAGAAAAAGGAAGAAAAGGATTTTCCCTGGAATTAAAATATTGCTTGCTCAATTTTAATTGGTTAAAATTATTTCTAGGACTCTGAAAATTCCACTAAAAATCCTGTTAGTGACTTTCGACATGTAGAACTCAAGAAAAATTCCACATGCCAGATTCGATTATTATTTGTATTACTTTCTTAGGGTTTTCTCTTGATTTGCACCGGCATTTTCTTAGGGTCATTTATAAATTAAATTTTAGGCTTGGGAGGAGAACTACAGGGTGTGACACGTCGCCCCCCCCCCCCATCAACGTTTGCCGGGACTCGCCGGCGGCGCCACCCCCCGATCCATGCCTGCCGCCGAGGGAGGAGGCTGGACGGGGAGCTCCGCTGACGCTCGGTCGCCTGCCACCGCCGCCTCGCTTCCTCCACTGCTGCCTCGCTATGGTGGGGAACGGATAGAGGAGAGAGAGAGGAGGGATGAAAAGTGAGGGTAGAAAAAGGACCGGTGGGACCCACTTGAAAGTAGTATACACCGTGTAGCATGTAGCTAACAATATTTCCGGGTGTTTTTAAGCTGAGTTTGCACACGAGGCTTCTCAGAAACTGAGGGCGCACTGCTAATGCCATGCCTCTTGGGGGGCCGCAACCCCCCCCCCCTCTTCCTCCCTTCACTTGCTTTAGCGGTTCGGCCAGTTGCCATAGCGTCATGGTCTCATGGATATGCCACTGCGCAGTGCGAGAGCACACTAGAGTTGATGGCGGCTGAGCTTAGAATCTTTTTCCTACGAGGAATTTTACGGTCCGTACCTTAAGGTACCTAAATTTTACATTAAAAATTTTGGCACCATTATTTTGAGGTATCAAATTTTACACTATAAAATATAATACCTTTAGATACCTTCTTGAGGATGGTAAAATTACCATTTTCAGACCCAGAG